AAGTAACTTGTTCTTGTTCCATGTTTTTTGAAGTCAAATGTGGCAAAGCATCAGAATTCAGAAGCTCAAGAGGATGCAAAAATTGCCCTTCCACTTGTGTAAGTGTGTAACTTATTCTGCAACTGGCACTGTTAGCTTTGAGATCCATAGGTCTACTTTGGTTGGTTCTTTCTGCCATTGGATTTAGAATTTGGATTACCACTCTTATCTGTATCTGAAGTCTTCGGCACCTCCATCTCTATATTTTCTGTCTGACTCTTTCGGCGTCTTCTATCCTGAAATCAAATGTCAACAACTTCATTTGAGAAAAATGTCATGTTTCAAAGACTTCATCAAGTGTAAATCTTATATAGAATAAGTCATGTTGAAGTGGGCCTCAAAGTAGATGTTTTAGTTACATCTTCAGGAAGAAAAAATTGAAACCAGATGTAATTTCATAAAACACAATTGCTATACAAAGTCTATGAAGCAGTGATACGAATGATGTCGAAAATAGGTTAGATATGAACAGCATGGTAACATGAAAGAGGTATTTATAAAGAGACTAAAGTAAAATGATTAAGAGACATCATTTCAAACTTACAATATATGCACTTTGTCTCTTTACAAAAAGAGAAAAATACCAAACAAAATATGAACCATATCTTTGATCTTATGTGCAATAAAAAACGAAGAAAATATTTAGTCCATCTAAGACCCATCTTTCCCCTCTTGATCATCAACATTGAAAACAACAGCCTCTAGCTCCGGTAATTGCTTCAAGAAGCAATACTCCAAAACTATAAACATCACTCTTCTCATTAAGTAAGCCAGAATTGGCATATTCTGGTGCCACATATCTGAAAATACAATGCAAGCAATTAAAAGGAGAATATAGTTGGCCAATAGAGACACTTAAAATGCTAATTCAGTGAAAACATAAATGTTATGAAACCTCCATATTTTTTCTTGCTGTTCATCCCATTTGAACCACCAATGGGATTAATACCGCTCAACCACAGGAGCACGATGGTTACATGTCTTCCCACAAGAGTTACTTTTCATGACTAGATTAGGTACATGCCACCATTACTGAGGACAATTAATCTAAAAGATTAACTATTTAATTTCTATTTGTAGTATAAAATGCAAAACGAGCACTAATCACCTTGCCTTCCCAAACAAGAAATAACAAAGAAAATTAATCTGAGACATAAAACAAAGTCCGAAATATTTGCACAAAGGCTTACCCAAAAGTACCCATTACTCAAGTAGTAATATGACTTTTTCCAGCACCCAGTAGCTTAGCTAACCCAAAGTCAGATATTTTGGCATTGAAATCATCGTCAATTAGAATATTGCTTGACTTAATGTCTCGATGCACAACTTCTGTAAGATAATATTTAGACTAATAAAAGGAAACTAACAAAAAAAGGGTAAAAATAAATTCAGGATATGTAGTTCATTAGTTTTTTGAGGAGTAAATGAGCATACGCTTTAGCTGTTCCAAGGAGAATTTTAATCCGAGCATCCCAAGTAAGAAAACCATACTGCCGCATGGCCCCATGAAGCCATTGCTCTAAATTGCCATTGTTAACATACTCATAAATCAACAACCTGAAATTAATAGGGGGTTCACTGAGGATTAAGAATCCAAATTACAGAAACCGGTACTGGGAGATTACTATGCAAATTGAACTTGGCTGCCAATTATCAAGAAACTACATATAAAAAAAAAACTACACACCATTTACTGTGACTACAAGAATTCTAAGATTACAAGTGTAGAGATAGTCAACTCGAAATAAATGCAGACACTCAGTCAAACCACACAAATGCAAGTGACTAGGCACAACTATGAAATTCGTGTTGATTCATATTTTGCCCATTCCAAAATATATAGAATAAAAATATAAGTGGAAATCTGGGTTTTTATTCCAAACAGAATGTAGAGCAAACCAATATGCTACATGTGAGTGCCTTCAATGCAATAGCCCAAAAGTCTGACCAAGTTCTTGTGCCGCACATGACCAATAGCCTCAACTTCCACCCTAAATTCCTTTTCAGCTTGTCCTCTGCATAATGGGCATCAATAATAGTATTAGATAAACAAGCTGCATGCAAATATCCAAATAAAACATGAAACAAGAGATTATATAGCCTATTTCAAAATTGAAAATATAAAGAAAGGCTACAATGCAACTTACAGATTATTAAGGAGCTTCTTAACAACTACAGGACTACCATTCACTAGCTGGCCACGATAAACAACTCCATATCCACCTTCACCGATAATATTGTCTTTTGAAAACCTGTTTGTTGCAACTTCTAGGTCCCTTAATGTAAACCTATGCCCCCAGCCAAGCTGAGAGAATTCAGGTAGACCGGACAACGGGGATGGTGCGGTTATACGATGCGAAGAAGACCTATAAAGAGACTTCTCACCGCTTTCTTCACCTGATTGAGAGCCACCAGCATCTTTCTCAACATGGACAAATGAGCCTGATCGACTGCTATAATCCCCATTTTTTGCTTCGATAAAAACCTTTTCAGATTCCCTGTCAGTAAAATTGTCATACAGACTCATAAAAGCGCCATTTTGGGGATGATTATTTCCTGAACTTTGATCTACTCTAATCTCTTTGATCTCTTCTGTAACAGATAACATTAGGCTATGGGGAAGCATGTCCTTGACTCTTTTGGATTTCTTTCTTGATGAAAGACATATCGATACCACTACAAGAATGACAATGAGGAGCATCCCAACTATTAGCCCCATTAACTCCCACACTTTCAACCCAAAAACCGATGTTTTCTTGGACAACCCTGAGTTTAGATCAGATGCCATTTTGCTGCTGCTAATGTATCTGCGGAAATCATTTGGTTAAATATAAAAAGGTGCAATTCAATTCATAAAACAAATAATGTTGCAAAATAAAGCTTATGGTGATATGATTGACAAATTATGGTAATGAGTCCAAGCTCTTTTACTGTGGTTTTCCAACACCGTCCATACACTTGGTTTAAGAAAGAAAATCACATATACAGTCATACAAAATTTCAGCAAGAAACTAATTTGTTTATTCATTTTGTACCCTGGAAAACTTAAGCAAAATATAGAAGTTCTAATTAGCTAGCCAAAAAAAATTAAGCCAATAAACCAATGACAAGAGAAAAAAAAGTCACTTGGATTTTTTAGAAACTCAGCATAGATTCAAATGAAAAAAATACTATATGAGAGAAAGATTGAAGACGTGTTCATTCAACCACAAGCCAAATTCCTTCACAAGTTTACAGCTCCCTTTAAGACCCTAAAGCAACAACATAAACACTAGATCTCTTACCCACCTAAAATCTTCCTCTTTGCCAAAATGTGATTTTGATTTCTGGGTTTTCTCAACTGAGCCAATGGGTTTCTATTTTCAATCTAAAAAATGTAACTTTCAGACAAGCAGCACCAATGTCACTTCTTCACTCAGTCACAGCAAGGCAACAACCGTGTTGTGCGGGTGTTGGAGGGAATTGAAGAAACACAAGAATCATATGAGAAAAAGGGAAATTATGGTGTGGGGTTAATAATAAGAAGGAATATAATTATCAGTGGTAGGTAATAGTGAGAACTGAGATGGACTCACATTGTATATAGAGAAAAACAAGGCAACAAAAATGGAAAGCTTTCTTTGCTGTTTCTTAAAATTTCTTCCCTCCTTCATACCCTTCCATTTTAATCAACCTCATTCCTCTGTCTCCCTACCCCTTTTCCATTTTAGTAATTAGAAAATTAATGACATCAATGTGTTTATTTATTACATTGGGAATATGATTGTTATGTATCCATAAAAGATAGGAAAATTTGAATTCTATTAAACGAAACATGTAATTAGTTTGATCTTTAAGAAATGCTAGAGTGTAGATTTGTGGGGAAAATAAAATTAAGTTGAAAAAGGTCGAATGCACAGACTGCACACCGAATTAGCCTAAAGCCCTCATTTTTGCAAGTCTCCATATCATTGAATTGTGTAATTTTCTAAATTTCATTTTTATCTCTCTATTTTATGACACATTGTTATCCCATTCAGTAGGAAACAGACAGAACACCATACCTATTTTCCTGTTAAGCCCATAATACCCATGTTCTATAATTGTTTACCCAACTTTGTTCTTTGACTGAGGAATATGCTTTGTTGAAAGCTAACTACTTGAAGTTTATAAGTTTCAAAGTTTGTCTATCCTAGAACGAATTAGTTTTTATGTCATTTGAGGGAGTTTGAAAGAGCTTCTCAACCACCTATCCTAAGCTTAATCTTAATGTTTTTTTAGTATATCCAATAGTGAAAAAGTGAAACTGTATACACAGGAATCCCCAAAAGCTTGTGATACATACACATGTGGTCTTATGCTATTTATTTAAGGTAAATTATTCTGGTATAGGTTAAGACTCATTAGCACGATTAATATTCTGTTTATCATCATAAATCAAGTTTAAGCATATGCTTATCTACGGGCAAAGTCCCTGTAGCCTTATAATAGTGCCTCTTCCGGAAGAGTTTAACTGCACCAAGACTGATAATTGATATAGAGTAGAGCAGTGAGACGTGAGAATTCTTGAAAAGCTTCTATCAAAAATTGCACCGAAGTGGGATGGTTGATGGTTCAGAAAACAGAGTGCTATTACATATCAATTGGGCAAAAAGCTCACAATGGATTTTACCCAGAATTCTCCTACAGACATCATAATTCTGAAGGGACATGATGAGTTGAGAATGCATCTTCTCCTTCTCCTTCAGTGGAATACTCCAGAGATGTCGGAATCAGCTACTTGGAATGGTGGTCATCTAATGACAGGTCCCAGAATGGTAGTGCAGATTCTTAACAATGAAACCTCTCAGTCTGGGTGTTGGCAAAAAATGGTACAGCAGGCAGATGCAGCAGATATTTATTCCAAAGTCCCACATAGGGGAGGTTTCAGGAAGCAGTGTTAAGTTTGAGATATAAAAGAAGGGTGAGTGGGATTGAGCAACATACTTACCTGGACGGGGTCAATGGGTGATCAAGAAGGCCCATGGCCTAGGGCAGTGACCTCCATTGCACTCAGGAGGGGTGCTCTCCTAAGGTCTACCCAAGTGGTGGAGCCTACGTCATAATTTGTGGCAGTGGGGGCCAGCGTTCGCGCGGCCCCTCTCAATTTTAGTTGAGTTTTTTAAGTCATTATACTCTATAATTTGTCCTTCAATAAATAAATTATTACTTCGTAGAAGTATTAACAAATTGTATAATCCAATTTATTTAATACCTTATATTATAATAATCTTTTTATTAATTATTACCTTGTTTGAAATCTTATTCTTTAATGGTAAGTTTTCTTTTTTCAAAATATTTGTGTAATCCATCCCTTTTCACTACGGTCTTGTTGAAATATGGAGCGTACCTTGCGATATTCTGTTTGTTGGTTATCTATACTATATGTTTCATTACTAATAAATCTATGGAGCGTCCTTTGCGATATTTTGGTTGTTGGTTATCATCACATTTGTTTCATTACTACTAAATCTTTTTAGTATATAAATTTGTATATAACTGATGCATTAGTAAAAATTCTCATAAAACAGCCACTGTTGCAGATTTGTCTATTCTAATAGTTCTCGAGGCTGCACTGTACATCAGTTAATATTATTATTACACTACACCAGCATCCTACCTCCTTTACCCAACCCGGCAAGTTAAATAGGATGCGACTCAAAGTCAATATCTGAGAGCTGGAAACTCTATATATATCAATCTCACCACTAATTAGACATTTTGGGAATCTATTAATATGAAATCAATGAATCGAGTACATGGAATTGTACTTTCTTTGTGATTGTAACGCCGTCAAAAGTTTTAATGAGTAGCACTATAATTTGGATGAGGAATACTATTATAATTAACTTGTGAGAAATACTATTTTCCATGCATTGAGCGTAGTATTCTATAGTACTAACTTCTCTAGCCTCTTCCCCAAGGAGGAGTGTGCTAGGTTCTCAAAATCAACCCCATGGTAAGGACATGAACTGGACCAAGTTCTACTTCTTGAAACTATATGGGGAGGATGAACAGTGTGCGCCCAGCTGGTAATTCTACCACTGTTTGAACATTTAAGGAATGGATCATTCAAGTATGTTATCCTAGGTTTTAACAAAGTTTGTTAGGATTCGGTAGTTTCTGGTCTAAGCTTGAAAAACATTACTGCATTGTTAAATGACAAAGTCCCACATTGTCAAATGTGAGAGGGGGAACAACAAAGACCACATTATCAAGTGTAGTATTTGTTTTTATCAGTTTAATATCTGATATGTGCGTCATTGGCTTACACGATATTAAATTAATTTTTTAAAGGTGAGATGTTATATCAATAGCTTCCTACTGGGCATCTTAAAGGCGTCGCTGATGTGTTGCACTTCTGCATTGGCTGGCACACCCCCCATCTATTCAGTTAAAATATATTTGTCTAATGTTATCTTTTGATAACAAATGTTAATTTTAAAATGTGTTATTCAGTTACTTTTTTCTACTATTATTTTTCTTTCAAATTTTATACGATGTAGTTATTTTATTGTTATTGGTTCTTGCAGTCCATACGTTGGATCCAAGCTGTTCAGTTTATTATTCCCACCCGAGTAGCACCAGCTTTTGCCCATGTTCAATAAACCCAAATTGTGTTGGATGGTAATATTAGCTCATTCAATAAACCCAAATTGTGTTGTAGTTTTCCAACAAAAGCTCATTCCACGTTTAATCTGGATTCAAATTTAATTTTAAGAGCAACTCTCTGAAATTGTTTCATTAGTGTGAAATTGTTTGAAGGTCAATCCATTCACCCTTATAGGTAATAGTTTTCTTTATTCACTATTAAATCGACTAATTGTGCTCAAGTATTCAAAAACTCCAACACCCACAAAACCATCGTTCTGTTTTAAGGAAGAGTTACTTTGATTTATACGTCGGGGTACTTTATCTCTATCCCAAAAATATCATTTCTTAATAAAAGTTGTCATTCCTCGACGTATGGTAAATGGTTGCAGCAAATACCATCCATTCCCATCTCTATACTTCCAATTAGAAAACTCCAACCAATAATAAAATCATGTAGTAATTTGCTGGCCCAACCACAATTAATAAAAGATGCTGGTATGATTCTTGATCTTGGTTGCATACCACAAATCTAATAAGTATTTTAATAAAACATTTGAATTCATCTTTTAATTAACAGTGGATTTTGGACCGCTAACAAAATATAAAATTGCCCCAAAATATGCCCAATGTGGTTTGTGTAGGGATGGAGCCGTCATGCATTTATGCAAAGGGTTTGTGTAGGGATGTATAGACTAACCTTATGGAACCCTTCCAAACTAAGGCAAGTAAAGTAGTAATTAACTTTTTCCCATCAAAGGTAGAATAGAGTAGTCTTGGTTAAACTTCAATACTTGAATGATAAGTGTGGCTATTGTTGGCAAAATTAAAAAATCTTTCCCAAAAGCATATAATGACTTAAAAAACTCAACTAAAATTGAGAGGGGCCGCGCGAACGCTGGCCCCCACTGCCACAAATTATGACGTAGGCTCCACCACTTGGGTAGACCTTAGGAGAGCACCCCTCCTGAGTGCAATGGAGGTCACTGCCCTAGGCCATGGGCCTTCTTGATCACCCATTGACCCCGTCCAGGTAAGTATGTTGCTCAATCCCACTCACCCTTCTTTTATATCTCAAACTTAACACTGCTTCCTGAAACCTCCCCTATGTGGGACTTTGGAATAAATATCTGCTGCATCTGCCTGCTGTACCATTTTTTGCCAACACCCAGACTGAGAGGTTTCATTGTTAAGAATCTGCACTACCATTCTGGGACCTGTCATTAGATGACCACCATTCCAAGTAGCTGATTCCGACATCTCTGGAGTATTCCACTGAAGGAGAAGGAGAAGATGCATTCTCAACTCATCATGTCCCTTCAGAATTATGATGTCTGTAGGAGAATTCTGGGTAAAATCCATTGTGAGCTTTTTGCCCAATTGATATGTAATAGCACTCTGTTTTCTGAACCATCAACCATCCCACTTCGGTGCAATTTTTGATAGAAGCTTTTCAAGAATTCTCACGTCTCACTGCTCTACTCTATATCAATTATCAGTCTTGGTGCAGTTAAACTCTTCCGGAAGAGGCACTATTATAAGGCTACAGGGACTTGGCTATTTCATTCTTCTTCCTAGCCCCCTCTTCTTTTTTTGTAATGCTTGTGGTAATGGTAGACAGTGCCTTAGTTTTTTTACCCAATTTCTTATATTTATTAAAGGCTGAATTACTGAGTTTGCAAGCATGGACAGCTCTTGGCCCCTCTTAATACTTAATATCAAGTCAGCCAATGGATCTCACTTACATGAATTGTTGACTTGGAGAGTGTTGCTCTCCGTTGAATAGTTTCCTGGTCTAAAGTATCTATATTATTGTGGAATAAGAGGCTCAACATCATGCTAAGAGATCCATTTCCTGAACTCATTTTAATCACTGGCACTCTCCACAACTGTATTCAACTACTTATTTTGGCAATTTAACTTTTATTGACAATTTAATCGATTATCCAAAGCTTTTAGTTTGATGTTTCATCTTAGTTGATGTTTCGGTTGAGAGATATAAAGAAATTGAAAAACATAATTGTACTTTGTGTACCTAGAGTTGGCATCATACAAGGAATTGGTATTGCTAATTTCAAACTTCAAAATTGATTATATAATTATGTAATGTAGATGGCTACAAAAATGCACATTAGGCATAGGACTGCTATTCTCATATGAAGCTTGCATTGGTTTAACCCGAAACAAGAATGGACAATATGGATGAACCGGAAGATTTTTAGACAATACATAGCAAAACTTAAAACTACACATTATCTGGTTGCTTCTAATTCACTTCAGAGCTGAGCTTATTAGACCGTGACTTGAGGGAACACCCAAATCATTTGATAATCTCTTGCATAACTGCATCACATGATTAGTAATATATATGATGCCTCTGATTTTAGAATAGGACACTGAGAGAGAGAGATAGATATACCTGTCTATATACTGAAGCATCTCCATAGCATTTCCTTAATTCTACTACATACAATGATGGACTTATTTCATACACCTGTTACATTTTCAAGTATAGTGATGTTATCTCCTAACTCTGCAAAGTGTGAAATTGTACACATATATTTAGCTAAGTTAGCTACCTCAGTTGAAACTGAGAGGTGGCCTAGACTTTTATGCGCCTTGTTCTGTAGCATCACTTTCAGCTGAAATAATTGAGGAGGTTATAGTGACATTTTAGCCAACATAATATTACATGTTTGTTGGAGATAGAAGTAACTTTAGTGATATAAAATACCAACTTTGCCATTTTTATTCTGGACTCTCAATCCCATTTTTGTCACAATGTCCTCAATCCTCTCTATCAGATCTTTAGCTGAAAGGTTTGATATAAATCTTATTTTCCTCTCAGAGACATCCTGAAACTCAAAGCACATTGTGCACATAAGTGTGTGAAATTTCCTTAGGAGGTGGTGAATGTCCAAAGGGTCAGGTGTTAATGCTGAAAATATAAAACAACAACAATATCCATTATATATTATCACCTCTTTCTCAAAAAAGTTAGAGAGGTCTAGGCATGAAGACATCCCTATCAACTGAAATGCATTGATGAGAGTTGGTGATCTTGGACTCCTCTCTTCTGCTTCATGTGGCTGTATATTATCAGAAGAGTAGTTTTGGGTTACCACTAAAAATAGAATAAAAGGGGAGATGGTGTAATTGCAGTGGTAACAATTAAGTGCTCAAAATTACATATACCATTTCCATGATAGATATTGTTGCATTGTCAATATTTATATCCTCTTCTTCATCCTCATATGGATTTGTTGGGTTATAGTCCTCCTTGAACCAAGGGTCTTCTTTGATCTCAGCCATTGTTATCCGTGTTATAGGATTCGGATCAAGAATCCTCTTTATCATATTTTGGGCACCAGGTGATAGCCATTTTGGTATCTGAGCATCTCCTTTAAAAATCTATGAATCATCAGAAGGAAAAAAAATAACCATTCTCAAAACATGATTTACAATAGAATATGATAATATTGTTTGATCTATATAGCCAATCTTAGGTGGCAAAAGGCTATGTCTTTGATGTTAATTTTCAAAATTACAATACTAATTATGTAAAAGGAGATAATAGAGGGCATGCAACATTTGATGAATTATACCTTTTGATAGAGAACTGCAATATTTCTATCATCAAAAGGTAGGTACCCTGTTAGGATAACATACAAGATAACACCACATGACCATGCATCTGATGTTGCACCATCATAGCCCTTATTAGCCAGAATCTCTGGTGCAACATAATTGGGACTTCCACAACTTGTATGCAGTAATCCATCTTCCTGAAATATTTCATGCAGCTATTATCAACTTAGTGAATAATAATCAAAATTATATACTTTGCAGTTTGCATAGAAGTGTGATTCAAAGAATATCTTACCCTAAGATGTTGGGGTAACGCACTAAGTCCAAAATCTGTTATCTTTATGTTCCCTTTATCATCCACAAGTACATTCTCAAGCTGCAAGAAAAGGACACCATATGTGTGTAAAAATGAAATTCATGAACTTTAAATGATGTAACAAGGACAAAGATCACCTGTCTCATTCTCTTTCCTACTTCCTATCCCGGTCCAATCAAAATTTTAGTTTTTGTTACTTTTTATTTTATTCATTTAGCAGCATTGTGATTGGTTTGGTACATGGAGCGGAACATGAAGTGAGACGGGTGATCCTTGTCCGTTAACATATATTAAAAGGAGCAAGAAGTTAGAACCTTGAGATCTCTGTGGAAGACACCTTTATTGTGGCAGTAACTTACACCATCAATCAATTGTTGGAACAACTTTCTACCTTCAGTTTCTGAAAGTTTACCCTTGGATGCCTATATATGAATACAAGTACAATTGTATATATAAGTCATTTTAATACATATCATTGAATTATTATGTAGATCATGTATATGAATAATAACAAGTATAGGTTGTCCCTACAATTTTGTAAAATAGCTCCCCTCCAGTCACGTACTCAAGTACCATGTAAATTTTTGTTTTGCTAGCCAAGACCTGCCATAGTTACAGATACATGGATCACAATCAGAAACATGGATGATAAGATGCACATGCAAGATATGCAAATGCAATAATAATCACTTTAATGCTGATCAAATTTGTTAAGGGGTTTTACATACTTAATCCAAAAAGGTCTATCCATATTTCTATGTGGAAATTACAATCCTCCTTGTACTAGACAAATTACATAAAGTGTTTTTATATCTTCCAAATATATTCTTGGAATGTAACTAATGTAACATTTATATATAATTAATATATTATCCACCATTTATTTTGA